ACTAAGACAAAGGTTTTACATTTCAGAAGGGTAAACTTCAGCTCGCTCAGAGCTCAGCTGGGAGGGATTCCATGGATGTAAAGGAGGTAGTGAGTGCTGGGAGTTCTTCAAGAACACTCTCCTGGAAGTACAAAAACAGTTCATCCCCTTTAAAGATAAGGGAAGTAGGTGGAGCAAGATACTCCCTTGACTTAACTGCAAGCTTCTGAGTCTGCTCAAAATCAAGAGAGAAGTGTGCCCAAGATGGAAAAGCAGACAGATACCCATTGAGAACTACAAGGGCATTACCAGGGTGTGCAGAGATGCAGTTAGCAAAGCAAAAGCTCAGCTTGAATTGAAATTGGCCAGAGATGTTAAAAACTACAAGAAAGGGTTCTTCAGATACATAAAAAACAAACAGAATCAGAAGGAAAATATTAGCCTGCTGTTAAGCAGGAGAGGTGAATTAGTCACCAACAATGCTGAAAAGGCAGATGTTCTCAACACTTTCTTCACCTCTGTCTTTACCAGCACTGTTGGCCCCCAGGCCTTGGGAATAAAAACATGGGTTGACCATGGCTGATCCACCATCAGTGAAGGAAGAGGTGGTATGTGAACTATTACAGGAGCTTGACCCCAGATATCGATGGGCCCTGACAATACCCACCCGCGGGTGTTAAGAGAGCTGGCTGACGTTGCAAGGCCACTCTGCACAATCTTTGAGACGTTGTGGAGATTGGGGGATGTCCCAGAAGACTGGAAGAAGGCCAATGTCACCTCCATCTACAAGAAGGGCTTAAAGGAGGATCCAGGAAATTACAGGCCCATCAGTTTTACTTCAGTTCCTGGTAAAGTTAAGGAACAAATCCTCCTGGGGACTATCACAAGTCAAATTAAGCACATGACTGGGAGAAGCCAGAACAGATTCACCAAGGGCAAAGCGTGCTTGACAAACCTGATCACCTTCTAAGACAAAGTAACCTGCTCAGGAGATGTGGGGCGAGTGGTGGACATTGTCTACCTGGATTTCTCCAAGGCTTTCAATACAGTTTCCCACAGCCTCCTCTTAGAGAAATTGATGTGTTACAGTCGCATTATGGTCTAGACAAGTGGTCTTTGTGATGGGTGGGGAACTGGCTGACAGGCCGCATCCACAGGGTTATCAAACTGGCAACCTGTCACAAGTGGGGTCCTCCAGCGATTGATATTGGGCCCAACACTGTTTAATATCTTCATAAGTGGTCTGGATGATGAGATCAAGTGCAACCTGATGAAGTTTGCTGATGATACCAAACTGAGTGGGGAAGTGGATGCTTCAGAAAGGAGAGCCACCCTGCAGGAAGACCTGGATAGGCTGGAAGAGTGGGCTAACAAGAACCTTATGAAGTTCAACAATGACAAGTGTAAGGTCTTGCAGCTGGGAAAACATAATCCAGGAGTGCAGCACAGACTGGGATCTACCCAGCTAAAAAGCGGCTCTCTAGAAAGGTATGTGGAGATTCTGGTGAACAACAGGATCCATATGTGTGAACAGTGAGTATGTGTGGCAAAGAAAGCCAACAGCATGCTGGGTGGCATCAACAAAGGCATCACCAGCAGAGAGAAAGAAATCATTATCCCACTCTACTCAGCGCTTGTCACGTCACACCTGAATACTGTGTTCAGTTTTGGTCCCCACCAAACAAAAAAGATATGGACAGGCTGGAGATGGTCCAGAGAAGGGCCACAAAGATGATCAAAGGTCTAGGAAGCCTGTCATATGAGGAAAGGCTGAGAGAACTGGGTTTCTTCAGTCTCGAGAAAAGAAGGCTTAGGGGAGACCTTATCACCGTGTTTCAGTAGTTAAACAGTAGTTACAAGAAGATGGAGACTCCCTTTTTACAAGGAGTCACACGGAAATGATGAGGGGGAATGGGTGCAAGTTACTCCTGGGGACATTCTGATTGGACACAAGAGGAAAATTTTTCACAATGACAATCAGCCATTGGAATAATCTCCTGAGGAAAGTGGTGGATTCCCTAACATTGGATGCTTGTAAGATTCAGCTGGACAGGGTGCTGGGCCAGCTTATCTTTGAGTTCCCTTCCAATCTGGTATTCTGTGATTCTATGATTTTATGAAGTTAAGAATATGTTTTCAGCTTCAATTCCTCAAATGTGACAGCAAATAAAGAACAAGCAGTCTGTCTTCTTGCATCCCACTCTGATCCTGAAGTTCGATCTATGTAGTGGATCGATGCATCTTAAACTGATCTTTCTTTTCTTTAATGATTTCTCATGCGGTAGAGAACAAAAGGAGGGTGTGTTTAATACATTTTGCAAACATCAGCAAGGAAAAAAACCCCAGTGGGAGGAAGGAGAGCCAAGCAACACGGCACTGAAGTAACTATTAATAGCAAAATCTGTAGGAATGAATTTACTGAATTTTGTTGCACGTATCAGGTATTTGCAAATTGTAAGCTCAGGTCTTCAAAGTACTGAGAAAATGGAGGTGTTCAGCACTTGGCATACTCAAACCCTGTGGAAGCTGCCTGATTCAAGCAGCATATGGCATATAGCCAGGCTCCAAACCTCCAGACTCTGCTCCATGGCGTAGAAGCCTTATGCAATATTCACAGAACCTGCTTAATCAAAAGAATTTTGATTTTTAGAAAAAATATTTCCCCTTTATTTGAGTATTAACAAGCTGTGGTTTTGCTATTCATTACATGCAAATTGTTCAGCTTTCATGAGTAGTTCTAGAGGTAATTATAAAAATTATCTAGTTATTTAAAAAGCACTTAAATAAATGCCTGGGATCTTTTTCTTTAACTAACTGCCTCTGCCATAAGAAGACATGTAGTGATCACAAATAAAACTGCTTGTTGCAGTTCAGAAGATGATGCACAGCTGGTAGCAATGCCAGTCACTTGCATGAGGTTCAAGATACAAAAAATCACCTTGCTGTTATTCACTGTGGTGGCTGTGACCAGTATTTCTGAATTATGGAGCAGAACTGTCTACATTTCATGTCATACAGCAGAACACCTCACCTTCCTTGAAGACTGGCAGTTTGATATAATTTAATTAACATTTCAGTTCTTTTTCACTTAAAAGAATACATCCTAAAGTCCCTTCTTGAGGCTAGATTGTGTATGTTGCACACAACCCAGTGGAGGAGCATGTTAGACCTCTTTGGAGTGGGATGAGTGAGGTGCTGTAGATATCTGGTAGACTGTCTGTATTTCGAATGGGGCAAGTGTCCCCAGCAGAGAGGGCAACACGTAGATTTAAAATACGTATATATTCTTTTAATGAGAACCACAAGGAGGATGATCGCTGATGAAGCTTTGCTTGCTGGTTATCAAAGACAAAACCAGTAGAGGCTCATAGTCCAGTTGTAGGCAACTGACTCCATTACTTACTCATGTAATATGTCACAACACCAGCAGGGAATATTTTCAAAATCCCGGTGCCCACTTTCACTTTAAGACATTTAGTTGTCCTTTGAAAGTCTATTTGAACATTTCCATTGAGAGAATGAGAAAAAAAGAAGTAACCATATTCTGGGCTTAGAAATCAGTTAGCTAACTGCCAGAATTTCTTCCATAAGCACCGCTGAACTTTCAAGTTCATGTTTACCATGAAAGCAAAAAAATGAGGGCCAGAAGTAACAGTTCTCACAGTGTATAGACCTCTCAGCTTCACTGGAACCAGAACGGACTGGGCTAAGTGAGGTTTGTTCAGTGATGCTCAATAGTTTTCACAGGCATTTTCTAAAAACATCAGCAGATTTAGTGCATATAAAGATACTTTAGATGCATCAATCTCTTAATTTTGTTGTGCTCCTGTGAGTTTCTGAAATCTCCTGTAGCTACACCTTGGCCTTTTTCTTTCCTCCTTGTTCTCTGTCTGTTTCTACCTTTGTTTCTCAAATAGATACTCACCTGAATCTGAATATCCCTGGAATTGATCACTTCCACGATTCCCACAACGTTGTCAAACACAAGGCCAAACTTTTTGCAGTTGTCTAGAGTAAAAGCAATCAAAAATAAGAAAGGCAAGATAAAAGCAAATATACGCACACCTGCTACATTAACTACAGAGATTCCCAGTCTTGCACTGGTAGCCGAGTGGCTTTACTCACATGACCAATCCATTAAAGTGAATGGAATGATTCAGATGCATTATTAATCACATAAGTCCTTTTTTTCAAGACTGGCATTTAAAGCCCAGCTGAGCTATCCACTCACCGATAGTAATTGAATTGATTTTGCCTTTTATCTGAAGTGTAGATTTGTTACACTTAAAAATGTAGGCCACTTGCTTGAGTTCAGTGTTGTTAATGACGAGGTCATTCTTATCCTCTTGATATTCCTGTTTCAAAAGAAAGTTTATTTAATTGGTTGTCTTTAACTAGCTACCAGTCAGACAGAGTTTAGTACAACTTATCCTCAAGTCATTGCATCTTCCGTTACAACAGAGCAATATCCTTCCTGTGGCTTAAAATTCTAGTCTGCTTGGTGATCGGGTATTTCACCTAATGCACCCTTAGATGACACATGTTCAGTTTAGAGCTGCAGAACTGAAGAACTTAGCACAGACCGTGGCAAAGCTCATTCATTTTGTAGGAAAGACATTGTGTTCACAACAGTTTAAAAATACCCTCACAAATCTGTTGCTTGGCTTCCATCCGATTTAGACCAGCACCTTGAAGAGCAGAGCAAGTTTTTGTTCGCCCAAAGGTTATATAATGGTCTATACAGTGTGTTCTGAACAGGTGCAGGCATTACCACACACAATAAGGAGTAATAGGTGAAGAAATTTCATTGTGAACCATGAAGGGACACTTACACTCCATGGATGTCAAGGAAAGACTAGGGATCCACAAGGAAGGTTCCAGGTACTATAACCCTATGGCAACATAACACAGGCAAACTGTGACGGCACGTTCCGCAAACTCAACTCCGTGGTAACGACTGTGTATATAACCTTCTGCATGACTAAACTGCATATTGTTTCTTCCCTCTTTTAACCAACACAGCCATGTGAATTTTCACCCATAGATTCTTTGGTGTATGCCTACATAAATGAACTCCCAGACTTGAAACAAATCTATCTTTCCATCTGTAGATTGAGCAAAAGGAAAACACTTCTCTACTTTTAAGGATGGGAGATATGCTTGCATGGTAATGAAAAATAAATGAATAATTCCATTTTTTAACAAAGCTGGAGAAAGTGCTCCGTGATAATACTGTTCTCTCTCACTCATGTGAATGGCCTGCAAGGAAGTTTTTTAATTGGAGTTCTCCATGGGACTTGTTTCTGAGGGATTGTCTGATTTTTCAAGGAATTTATACGCTGGTTCTGACATTTTCCAGTTCAGACGGATTAGTATATGATTCTCAGAGATTAATGAATTAACTTTAGATGCTACAGAATAGTAAAAACTAAACTGCAGCAAGGTAGAGCAATGCAAGAATCAGCCCATTTTGGTGGTAACTTTGATTCATTGCACCTTGATCATAGATGGCCTTTTGCAAAAGACATCCAGCACTCAACCTGTTTTGCAATATGTAGGGTGCGATTCAGAAGTGCGACTGGAACTCACCACTCTCCACTTCTTTCCCTCTAGCTCCAGGACAGGGGCATGGCTTTGCTGTGGGGAATTCTTGGGAGAAGTGGGACTTGAAGTATGGCTTTTTGTCGGAGAACGAACAGATGGACCCTGGGCACGTAGGCTGGGGTTCTTGTGAGTCTTCTGGTCATCAGAGACATGTCGAAGCCCTGAAAAAAAAAAAGGATGTTTATGAAAGACAGTGCTTTCCAGTCCTAAGGGTGTTCATATTTAAGCAGGAAAGGTTCATTTGTAATTGTGTTAAATTATTCTGTGAATTTGCATTTTTTTATTTCCTCAAGGTTTGCCTGCGTAACGACCTGAAGTGTAACTGCCTACGTATCTTTAGCAGTTCATATAAAATCTCCTTTACTGTGGATGGGCTGTGTTAGTATCTTTAGCAGGAAATGCTGCAATGTCTTCTAGTCTCTTTCTGTCTGTAGCAATCTCTGAGAGCTTGTTATATCACATTTTTCCATCCATAAAAATGAGATTATTTTTCTAATTTATGACAATATTTGACCTACCCCTGCAGCATTACAGGCAGATATATCAATTGTATGTATTTAAACTCACAACCATCCACTTTAATTACAACTGTCCAGTATTAATACAAAAAGCTTTATGATTGTACTCCACACTGAGCTGTAAGCCATACCTTTTCACCTAATGCAGCACATTTTGACACAGGTTAGTACACTGAATGGGAATCACAAAGGAGGATAAAATTTTACTGCAATTGCAACTTAGAGGTTCACCAGCTACTGAGGATTGAAGATGTCCAGCTTGGCTGCTTTAAAACCAAAAGGATACCTCTAAATAAATGGTGTGAATTTCAAGTATGCTGAACGCATTTGGGTGCTGTTGTTTCTAAAGGAGGTTTTGGTATGCAGGCTTATCCATCAGACTCAGTGCAAGCCTCAGAAAGATCTGAGCTGCTTAAATGTAACTTAAAAATGCAGTGGAAGTTGGGTTAATACATATAGCAGCTCTTGAATACCGTTTGACTCATGAACCAAAAATTTGACTTCTTTTCTCCTGACCTTTGGTAATTGCCTCTCCCTGGTTAAGCTGTGCAAATAGGGCTGAGCGAGACGCAGTTCCTTCATCCTTTACGGTTTCTGTGTCAAAGATGGGGGGAGGTCCAGGTGGTGGTGGCGGTGGCGGCGGTGGGGAGAGGCATGCCCCGCTTGTTAGAACAGATCGCATAGACATGGGCGATGCAACCGGACCCTGTTGGAGACAGACGGAAATTATCTTACAGACAGTGTTTCATGGAACATTGTATTATGATAACTCTTACTTAGTACCATCCTTGAATGCTCTGAGTGACTCCAGGCAGCCAGAGGCTCAGAGGAAT